TTTTCTGCTACGACTTCTCAACTGATAAATGATAATTTGATGAAGGGAATGTACTAAAAGCTGTCGTATTATTTCGCTCATGTTTGCTATCATAATTGTTCCAGGTCCACAAGCTCTTTGTTTGAAGAAGTAGGGTTAAATGATTCATGATAATTTTTTATTTTTTGAATGTTGCTATAATTGTTAGTATAATCGAAATCGTAGCAATTACAGTTGTTATATTGTTACTACCATCAGTTTTGTCGAATTAATAGTTTTGTTCGTGCTACTTTTAGACAGACTGTCAATCTAGGTGCTGAGAAGAACTGGAAGTGGAAAAAGGACGATGTCGTCCGATATCGACATCATTGAAATTGTTGACGATATACCTTCACCAATGATTTGCAACAAAGAGCCAATCGTTTTTCGTGGAGTTGGCTATCTAACGATGTTTGTATTTTATATTTAATCCCAATAAAAATTCCGGTCCATTTCTGCAATTTCGTTCATTTAATTCGCATTGACTTTAAAATAATTCTATTTTAAGATTTCTGTAACTGTTCTGTTTCTTTTTTTTTTAAAATTTGTTCTTAAGTGTAACAAATGTAACAAATATTCTTTTTAAGCTTTTATTAAATCAAATATCTTCACCAACTCTGATTTAAATATCACAATGAGTGGGATAGTAACCTTTCTGTAATGTCAAAATAATAGAATTATCATCCCATCAGCAAAGCTTAGAAAATGCTCTCAAACATTAGCTAAGCCATTCGATATCTATATTATTCACAAACCAATAATTTCATGACTTAAATGGTTGTTTTGGATATCAGCTTTGTAAGCCTTCCTAAAGCATGAGAAACAATGGCTTCCATCGTAAAATTTTGGAAGGAAGTGCTGGAGAACTGATCATTCCCAGTAATTGTAGCATATAATGGCTGATATTGATAGAGTCATATAATTTAGTTCCTCACTTCTTAATATAAAATTATTCTTTTGATTTCTGTTCTATATTTCCTTATCCATTGAGCAATTACATTTATGATTCAAGGTTTGGTCTGAGCTCTCGATTTGATACCGAATTTCCAACCGTACTAACTGGCCGTTTAGCACCAGAAGAGCTAGCCGATACGATGCGAAGAATTAATGGTGTATTGGCGAGGAATATGTCAGGAAACGTTCGTTGGCTCGTTTGTGGATTACTCTTTTGCTGTTGTACGGTCGGTTGCTCATTATGGCCCGTTGTTTGTTTGAATAAACGTGTAAGTTTGAGTGCATCTTAAAGGTAGTTCCACTATTTAAATAATTTCTTGGAGTTAAAATAGACTTAGAATTTAAGAGCTATTCCAGATCGATATCTATCTTATTCTTTCTACTTTTTAAAGCAGAAAAAAAAATGGAAAACGTCCTTGCCCACCACAGCGTTATTTTGAAAGGGTTTCATAGATTGCTGAAGATTTGTGAAAATTTGTGAATTAATTATATTGCTAACACAAATTATAAGAAGGCATGTTGTAAGAAGTAACTTTTTTTAATTCATATATTCGTATCATTCTGCATCAGCTTTGAGAATTAAGCGATACTAATGTACTTTTTCACTTTTCATCAAACAGTGTCATCCATTATGTCTGAGCATTGATTAGCTTTCTTTACTGTTTTTTTTCTTTTGTTTTCAGACGGTACATGCACTAGAGAAATTATTGGATCATGAAAATCAAACGCTGTATAACAAATTGGGCTTGCATTGGCAACTAGTAAGGCGACCTGTCGAAGTTAATTATAGCATGACAGAATATGTCTTATTATTAGAAATTCTTCCAAAAACTCTCCTTCTATTGCCAGATTAATATCAACATATTTGTCTTTCGAGCAAGGTAAGTAGTGCGGTTAGATTTCTTTTGAAAGATTTCTGGGTAATGGATGAAGTACTTATTGAATCTGTTATTTCACGATTATTTCTTCTGCTTAGCAAGCATTAATTTTTATATTTGCAACAATGCGTCAATGCTTTGATGCATAAGTGAATGTGCAGATTTGAAGCCAAGATAATTAATATATATCCAGTACTTAATCTCGCTAGGTCGGTGCGACTGAAAGATTATTTTGACCTGTGGAAAGAAATAAGGATATCTGTTTTTTTTTTTACCGTCAAGTAGTAATTTTATCAGAAATTATGAATATACTTCTGGCAATACTTTTACAGAGCATTCGAATTTACGTGTATCGCCGATGAATCTGTATTGAGCTTAGAAATCGGCTGGGTGAACATACTACGAGGATTTCAAATTTGATTTATCGTCTTCTGAACAAATAATTAGAAATTAAACACACCACTTGCAACTGAATTTGATCAGTAGACTCTAAGACTATTGTATGAAAATTTTATCAAATTAAAATGCATTTTCATCCTCTGTAGGCATTTTTTCCCATGCTTCTCTCCAAAAGTTTTTATATTTCTTTTTTTATTGTGAATGAACTGATTACTTTTTATCGCAATTGTTGCATTTTTTGACTTTTCATTGCTTTTTTTTTTACTAATACCTTTTATTTTGTCGGTGTTTTATTTTTGTTTTTATTTTGTTTGATTCATTTTTTCTACTTTTCGATTTCTCATTTCTTTCCTATTATTATTTTCTACCGATTTCAGCAGTTATGTTTTAACAATTTTTTAAATTAGTATTTAAGGCTTTGGTTCGTGGAGAACTAATGTCATAAATATCTTCTGTTTAGAAACATTGCCTATTGTTCAAATTTTTACTGTTTATTGGGTATGAATAATGCTTTTAAACTGCTTATCTTAAAATAATTTGGCTGAGAACTGCTTGCAGTCATCATGGTAAAAATAGCTAACGAAGCCTTTTATCCCGATTGAATTTCCTTTTTATCATAAATTCGTTTAGCACAGGCAGAGCATTTTGCAGTTTTCCTTTTGCTTTTTTTGGAATTTTAGTTGCACTTCATGTTGTATAGAAGCAGTCTATTCTGCTGGGATTGCTGTCATAACATGCGAATATACATTAAGATGTGGAAAGTGCTTGCATTTTACAGGAAATTATTCTTGGATTTTACAGGAATTACTGATAAATTTTACAAATGTAAATAAACTGGAAATAAATGTTAGGTTGTAATTAAGTATAGGCAATTCGAACTCAGCGGTATGTACTTGTATAAAAAACTCGTTTCAACAAATTGCTCTGTATCTGTAAAATAAAATGCTTTCTTGTATCATAGTTCAACATACACTTTGTTGTTATCTAACGTGTTTGTATAGTTAATTGTAGAAAAGCTTCCGTTCTGTTTCGGTTCTAATTTTTCTTTTTCTCTTTCCGGTATCTTTGTTCCAATGAGTGTTTTGTAACTATTGTCATATAATTGATATTAAAACTTATCATTACTTTCACTGTTATTTTACCCATTTCATCCTCATTTCTTTTTCCTCCTTCCTATTACAAACTTTTGTTTCGTGTTAAAAAAAACATAAGAAAAAACATATATCTTTTGTAAGCATCTAAGTTATCATCACTAAGGATATCTTCTAAAACATAAATTTCATATTGCCATGAACCAAAACCGTGCCCAGATGATCTTGTTACGAATTGTTATACAACTTTATGATACAATCGTTGTAGGATTTCATTTTAGATTACTTGAGAATCGCAGTAAATGATTACTGATTTTTTTTGATCACTCTCTAACCTCTAATCCACCCACTTATCATTAATAAGCTTCTAACCATATGTGATTTAGATAAAAGAAATAAATAAATGGACGTAATATAAGCGGTAAAATGACAACATGATATAAGGATACTGCAGAAATAGCTCAATACTAATCACAGAAGTTTATTCTTTTATCAATGTTTCATGTTATAATGGATGCACAAGAGAATAATTTAATTGATTTGACGAAACTAATTGCTCTTAATGCTACGTTACAATTTAACGATTAATATCTGCGGGGTATGAAACACACTGTCATCTTCCTGTATTATTAATAAAGATTTAATGATATATATGATAATGCGTCATATATGTATGTATACATGTACATGTATGTAAATTACGTATGATACTGCAAATGTATATGTATTATGTAATAATAATCGGACTAAGAGATGATATACTTAATTTAATGGACGTGGATAAAAAGCAAAAGAATGCATGATGCTACAAAAAGTGGAGAATGAAACAGTATTAATTGTTGTAAGAATGATTGGGAGAGGGAGAGAGGCAGAGAGAAAGAGAGAGGGAAAGAGAGATGAAAATAGGGAAATATACGAAATTCATAATATGAATGAACCTTTGTTGTGATTATCCGGTCATATCGTTTAATTATTTGGATTACCAGTAATAGCATTGGAGAAGGAGAGTTTCATCCATAGACATCGCTAGACTTCTGTAGAGATGTGAAACTTTGATGTTTATCACACATCAAAGTTTCACAATCCGTTCAGTGTCAGCTCAAAATTTCGATCTTGCTCAATTTTCATCGATTGTTTTAGGACCTTAATCAACAATAATGGGATTAATAATAAGAATTAATGATAAACGAATAACTAAAACCGCGGCAATTTTAATTTCGGAACTGTAAACACGTAAATTAGCAATTTCTGTTCGAGAATTTAATTATAATTACGTCGGTAAAGTTGGATGGATTTTGATTGATTGTTTAAGTTAATTTGCAGTTCCATTTTCGCTAGGGTAAATTTTAAAAGGGAACGCGGAATAGTGTAATCTTTGGTTGGTATTGATTAAAAAAAAAGAATGTCAATGTCATCTTCACAAGGTATTAAATACTATCTCAAACTTTAAATTTCGCAATTGTCCGTAATTGTTTTCTACTTATATTGTTTTAAGTCATTAACTGAGTTTGTTGAACTTTCATTTGTTACCTTTGCTACTTTTTCTTGCTATTTAGTTTGTTATAAATAATATTAGCTCGAGATTTTTTTAATCAGATTAATTAAATTTAATTAGTTCATGATGTAGCAGTATTCGAATGAAAAGAAGAGTATTTTAGTTATGGGAAAATATACAGCTGATCCAAAAATGCGACCATCAGTGATTGGACATTTTTTCTCGAGAATCGGTTCAATGAGGCATCGCAGCAAAAGCCCGCGAGATCCATCGTTGTACATGTCAGATGATGCTGTTACTCCCTGTCCTACTCAGCCTACGTCTCCCACTTCTTCCATCAAAAATGTAAGGATTTGAAATTTTGGTGTGACAGTTGGTTTTTGGCATTAATTAATACTCAAATGAATAATTACTATTTAACACATGTTGAGAAATGCATACAACATTATACGATATTTAAGCGCACTTGTAAATTACAGCAAAAAAAATATGTAATCTGATTTATGTAATTCCAGTCGTATAATTGTTCTTCAAAAACAAATGGGTGGTAAGGCTTTTTTCTGGCGTAATCAGGCTTGGAGTCTCCAATTATAGCCGAGAAAAATGAAAGGAAAATAAGGCTACAGTTAATGTTTCGGGAGGCTGAAAAAAGCAGTTAAACAATTACAATTTATGGTCGGAGAGATGACAAACTAGAAAAATATGAAATCCACAATGGTGACATCGATAAGCAGTAGTAATAGCTGGGAAATGAGGAATGATTCGAGAAATGACTAATCATTTGATTGATATCTGTGTGAAAAATACCAGTTATAAATGCTGGACGATACTTTTACTTTTTCTTTTCCGAATAGAATGTGTGATTTTGTTTTGTTATTACCGTTATCATAATCATACAAAGTTCTTTTGTCAAGAAATTGCATAATTTGCATAATTGCATAATCATGCAAAATTATTTTGCCAAGAACTACGTGTTTATTTGAGAATGGAGTACTTATTTATTTATATTTCAGAAAGCGAATAACTTTAAGTGGTTAGTTGGTGATCTTTGCAGTTACATTGTATCGTATGGTTAATCATTCTTTGTATCATCTGTAAGAACAAGGCATTATTACCACCAACAATATAGTATTATTTGATATAGGGAACAAACGTTAAGGATAGCGAGTTGAATGCTAAAAACGAATTGCACATCTCACCACCACCGAAGCCAAAACGACATTCATCACCATTTTTTCGTATCATTCATCGTCTATCAATGAACCGTAAAACTCGTGAAGCATCTTCCATCGGCCGTGGTGCCCATAATTGTTCCCAACTCAGCCCGGACGAGCTCAACAGCAGCCACGAAACTGTAGGTTACTTTTTTCTAATTTTCATTTTAATGTATCTTGTTGAAATATAATATCAATGATGTGCATTTGCCTTTGTTTCACATTGAATGCAACCGTCACATTTACAGTTATGTTTATTGTTTTCTCAATAATAACACCTGCATTTATACGCTATAAGTAAACAATCTTATTTATATTCTTTAAATTATTAAAAGTATTAGACTTACTGAAAGAGAAAAAATAGTTAACATTTTTCGCTGGAGGTCAATTCATAACTGCATTTTCTTCAAGGTCATTGCAGGAGAAAAATTGCATACTCCGAAATCTTACTTAGGGATAGTTGATAGGATTTTAGCAGTTTTTCGTTTGTATTTAATTGCATGCAGATGTGATGCTTTACATTTTGGGAAGTTCTTTTTTGAGAAAACTGAATGAAAATATTTTTTACTTATGTCCTTTCTTGCCCTACTTTTGACTGCTTCTAGTTTGACACTTTTTCACCTTTTATTTTTCTACTTTTGTACTCTTCCATCATGGAAAAAAATGGGCATGATAAAAGCAAAATCTTTTGCATGCACTGAGAAGTGAGGCAGAGATAGTAGAATTCAAGTTTTAACAAAAGTAATGGACATGATGCCAATTCATTCGTCATTTTCAGACTTCAAGCAAATGATATATGCAATATTAAATAATTATGTTCTAATATATTTCCCATTTCTAAATAATTATATCCCTTCCATTGAGCTCAGTTTTGATTTTTATCAGCATTTTCACTCTGATTATGTCTTGGGAAGATTGAGAAGTTTTGATCAATTTTGCAATTTCGTTTTGTTTTACTTCTGAAAGTTTTCGTAATTGTTTTCACATGACATAACGTTTTATGTTTTTATATGGAAGGTATTCCCTTCGGGGATACTTCATATTAGTTCAGCGAATATTTGTTCAAATGCAGACCATCCTCTTTAATTTTTTTTTTTTTTGGACAAGACAGCAAATTATCTGATGGGGAATAAAGTGCAATTTGTAATTGCCAAGTAATTGATATATCGACCGTTGTGCAAGTAATTTAAAAAGTAAGAATTTTAGATTTTTTCAACTTCAACTCTCCCAACAACCTGCAATTCTGGAGACGTCCTACCTAGGCCAACTGTGTCTGAGAATGACCTGCGTCTTATAACTCTACGAAAGGACCAAGTAATTTTTAACTGATTGAATTTTATTATAGGTATTCTTCAACTTCATATTTTTTTCCTTTTATTATATTTGTTTGCTGGCGGTAATTGTGGACATTCAAGTTTTTTTTTATTTATTTCCTTAGTATCAGTAGAGCAGAAGTGTTTGATTTTGATTGTAGTAATTCAATTAGAATATCGTCTTCTGACTAAAGTAAAATTTATGAAAATACAAAATGTATATGGAGTTTTGCATATTTTTTTTTAAAATTGAGAGTGATGTTTTTTTTATTTACTACTTAAGTTCCATTTTTTCTTTTAATGTATTTTGTGTGTTAGACTCTTTCCTAGGGCTATAAAGCAAAATTTCTCATAATCCTTGAAATATAAAAAAGATAGAGTTATTCAAATGATTCACTGTAATAGTTGTAGCCACTAGCAGTAGAATATGATACTGTCGTTATTGTTTCATTTCATGATTTTCATTTTTCATTGAACTCACAGGAAATGGAAAGGAGCGTAACTGCATTATCTATGAACACAAGTAGTATTCATCCAGACGATAACTGTGATATGATCATTCGTGTGCCATCGTATCTGCGTATCAGCTGTGCTCTTAATGGTTATCGTCGTCCGTATCGTCATATCGACGGATCTCATCGGCGGCAGAATGCCATGCCTATGAAATTACCGATGAGTATTGTTGAGACGCGTAAATTAGCTTTCAGTCAGAATGATGGTCAGAATAACAATAACCAAAAAAGGTATGTTTCTGCGGCAATTTTTTAAAATGATTTAAAGCTCAGCTGCTTTGCAAAGAGTGATTGAGTAATAGGCTATCTCTTTATCTTAAATGGAATTTGATTTTAGAATTAGGTAAGAAGCGAAAATGTTCGAAAAGTTTGGAGGAAAAATTTCCTACTTTTATCGAGATCTATACTTTTCTACAGACAGAATATCTGTTTAGCTTCACTAACAATGGCCATAGAGTTTCATGGCCAGTACTATTCTTCGATTTTTCAATGCTTAGAAAGAGGAAGTTAGAAATGTAAATTCATAAAAGAGATGTGATACACTTTGAATTCCTTCACTCAAATTTGAATTTTTGGATTAACGACCGTTTTTATCTGTTTTGTACTGTGCAAGATTACCATTTACATATCAAAATCGCTGCATTTGTGGAGGTTTCTCAGTATTGTTGTTTACATTTTCTGCCTCCAATCAACCCCGATCGCCTGCTGTCAAGCTTCATTTTTTAAGCATCTCATTGTATTACTTCCATTCACTTTATTAACTCACATTAAAGCAAAGCATCAAAAATGAACAATTTTCTTGATCATTTTAACCTTATTTAATATTAATCAAAGAATATGGTACCAATTTTTGAAGAATTTTTTCAGCTCACTTCTTGTAAATAGTTTGGTCATGCATAAAATTCTGGTGACCGTTTGCGCAACTACATTGTTCCTTAAATATCTTACAGTGCTTCTTATTTCCCTCAATTTTAAGTTTCCTCCGTTTTATTGATATTTGCTTGATGTTAATTTGAAAATAGAAAAGATTTTTTCTTGAAATAATGGCATTATTTACAGAAATATTATTGAGAGCGGGTAGGAATGATTTTGGCGATGCAAATAAGTGAATATATGTAATAAAATGAATGAATGAATGAATAGAACGATAACTAATGCCCTTCACGGGTTAGTTGTCAATGACGGCAACTCAGTGACAATGATCCTATCTTATAGTCACGAACGCGTGATTCCTTCTGATGTGACACTGTTTGAGATGGGACAAATGATTCAAAATCATCTGTTTGATACCTTTGGTTTTTATAAATTCTACTTAAGTCATTGAATGACTTCTGATTTGTTTAAATTTAAATTTAAAAATTAAGATTTGTTTTCATCTTTCCGCTCTTCTCATTTTTCCATTTATAAGAAAAGAAGAGGGATAATGGAGAGTCAAGATTTTCTAGCTTATTTATATCCTTTTTTCTTAAAGTTAATATGTCTTTCTTTAACATTTTCGTGGAAAAAAGAGAAAAACAAAATAAATTTTTTCACTTAATTAAGCGTCAGCTGGTCAATGCATGCTTTTAAATACATTTTAGAAAATGAGAAAGCCTAATTATTTCGTTCATTCATTTCAGCCCAGTATTCCATTTCAACAATGTAAGCAAAACCTTCACCATCAATATTGACTTTTATTTGATGAATGAATATTCCTTAAATCCACATTCCATTACACTATGCGTTATGCACTTAGAAGCAATAGGAAATGATCGTATATCCATAGAGATAACCTTCTTGTACATCCATTTGTAAACTATGCTTTTATGTATATGATAGAACACTCACAGTTAAAACTCACTGACAAAGATCAAGTCATTTCAACAAATTTTTTTATGTTAATAAAGAGTAATATTCCAATTAAATTTAAGAGAAAGGCGAAAGTTAAATTAAAAATTCGAATTTACTTCTTTCTCAATATTTCTGGCTCTTTTTTATCATCGATCATTTCTCGCTAATTTTTATTGCCATTAAAGTTTCCACCACTTAATTCCATATCATCGTTGTTGCCAGATGACTCAATAGAGATCCTGAAATGTTTTCTTTTGTTCAATGTTTAATTGAAAATCTTAAAGTACCAGTTTATGTCACGCAAATCTCATCTCTTTCCTCTGCATGATTTGTTTATCTCTAATTGCTGATCCTTCTTTAAGTTCTTTGTACATATTATTCCTCCAAGAGTGACAGCTTTTTTTAAAATGATAGTGAAATTTTTTTTTTTTAATTTGGAGATTTCAGTTATTATAATTTCCTCATATTTTTACAAGAAGAAAAAGGAGAGATGAAACGAGATTTAAACAAAAATGGAGTAGTAATCAGAGAAGGAACGAAATATGTAAAGTCTTCTTTTTAATTCAATTACTTTCTAACCTGCAAGTTTGGATCAGGTAACTGTTTTAAGAATATAGGGCTTATTGAGTAACTCTTTATCCAGACATTTCTTTCCGCTTATAATAGTATTTTTGTTCAGAAGGATTTCTTTGAAACATTTTTCTATTATCCTTCGATATCTGTGTTGCCCCCTTAAGCCTCTTTATTAAACATTCTTAAGCTTCTATAAAAGTTTGATCAAACAATAAAAGAAATGAGAGGCACGTTTTTTGATCAAACATTTTTCATATTTCTAATATCATCTAATCATCTAATGGATGCGTGACTGACAAGGTCATACCCTTCTGATAGATGTTGAGGAATATATTGCTTTGTATAAAGAGTAATAGCAAAAATCTGAAGAACATGTATTAGATTGCTGTCATTTTGCATTTTTATTAAGTGTGTAAGAGAATGTTATCATCAACGGACGCGTTATTCAACATTAATCGTGGAAACAGACTATATTTTTTTTCGAATTTGATACTCTAATCATATTTTTTTGTTCGTAATCAATTATTGAGAGGAATTATTTGCTTCTGACAATTTCTTCCGTTATACCGTGTTATTTTTCATACAGTATCGTTTCAGATTTCGTCCTTCATACTTTTGCAAAGGATGAAATTAATGAATATAATATCAATATATTAATTAAAGGAATAAACACAGATTGCTCCGCTAATACACGATTTCTTCAGTTCATATGCCAAAAGGACGTAGAAAACAGTATCTTAATCAGCCAGCTCTCTTACTTTTCTTGCATACATAAATTAGAAGTGATTTCGACTTTAGCATAGAGTAGATAGCCTACGAATGGCACGATTGTACTATTTAAGAATCGTTTCGCAGTAACACCGAGAACATAATCTTGAAGGCCTGAATAATATTGAAGAATGATTAAAGTCATTGTTAGGATTTTAGGTAGCATTTGTCATACTTATCAAGCGATATTTAAAGAATACATTTAGGCATATAATAATTGATTTTCCAATCGGAAGATATTAGTTTTCCCGTATCGGAAGATACTAATTTTCTTGTTTTTTTTTTTTTTTTTGCTTTTCATTTCTGATAACTTTAGAAATTTCACTGAAAATTATTGCAAATATTGCGTTTCCTCTTGAATTTTGAACGAATCTTTTTTACTGTCATCATAAAAATTTATTTATTTTTCTCATACGAAAAAGTCATCTTTGTTAGATAGCGTCATGTTAATCATATTTCATTGGTGCCTCTTTGGTCGTTGACATTCGGATTATTAAATTTTCAATAATTTGACTCAAATTTGTTAATCTTAAAATTTTATGGAGAGTGCCGAAGTCTGCACTTACATTAATATCAACATCTCGACTAATTTTTATTCATTTGTATTCATTTCTGTACAAATTGTTTTGCGGTAGGTGAAGGGCCGAAGATTTAATGAATTGAAATTGCTCTCTCCTTAAAAATTATTTGATTAACATAGCTAGGGAGAAGTTGTCATAGGATTCATTCAGTTAAAGTAAAGTTTTATAACCAAAGCAGGTTTAACTGATAGTTTAACTGATAAAGTACATATAGCCATAATTGAGATTGTGAACTACAATAGATACCTATTTCGGTTATTTTGCGGGATCATGTACTGGTTAAATCTTATACTAATCGTTTTAAAAACAATGTAAATTGCATAGTTTAGTTAATTCTCTGGCTTAAAGACTTGATTTTCTTGATAAAAACACTTCTTCAATTCTCCACAATTGTTCATTTCCAATTTTGCAGTGTGATATCGGAAATAACGAGTCGAAATAATTCACAAATGGGAGATGATATTTCAAGGACATCAGCACCTGTACGGCAACTAGTCGAACAGTTTGATCATTTGCTTGAAAATAATTCGAGTGATAAGATGAAGGATATGGGTTTGTTTCTTCGCTATTTTCTTTGACCATTATTACGAATCAAGCTAAATACCAAATGATTTCTTATTACCAAATAAGTTTTCATCAACGGTGCTTTTTGTATTGCTTTTGGAATAGTTTGAAATACTAATTCAGCCAACTATGGAAATTTTCGAAATATTTTTTGGCCATATACTGATGCTAGAAAACTCACTGAAAAAGTCGTCGTTTAGAGAATAAAGCTAAAGTGAAATCAAATTAATAAATTTATTTTACATCTGCCCTAAAAATACATAGGATTTGTAATCATTCTCTTTCGTGAGATATCAGTTTTTAAGGAGCAGCAGAGGACTCGCTTCATGATGGAAATATGACGATATCGGATGAAGCGCATACAGTGAAACCTCTAAATCATCCTGTTACACCACAAAATTCTGTTGCTTCTTCCGACCAAGTATATTACTTTTTTAAACTGCTAAAAACGTTTTTAAAAATTTTCTCATGATTCAAACAAATATTTCCTCTTCATTTATTTTTTTCATTTGTAAATGTTCATTGCACAGAGAAATGAAAAAAAACAAGCGAAGAGGAAGTGTTCGCAGCGCAACTGTTGAGTGGGTTCGGCACTACGTCTACTGATTAAAAAAATGCAGAAAAATTTTTATTACTCCAGGAAAATGCAGTAAAAATGTATCTTGAGAGGATTTTTCGACTTACACAAATTGTCATTTTATTGTCCTTATAGTAGTCGCATTTAGAAAGGACCTTGCTCTTAGAAAGGACCACATTTTATTAGTATTTTCCATAGTGTCCTAATGGATGCTTTTTAGGATCGGTCATTGGGTGAAAGGTTTTCTCATAATTTATAATAAGCGGTTTTATATGGTATTTTTATTGAATTGGACTCTTACTTAGAGAGGGATCGTATAAAAAATTAGATCTCCCTTTCACCTGCACCATACGAAATAGGAGTATCGATAGGTCACTCTATATATTAGTTCTCTCCAGAGACTGGTTAATGGATAATATTAGCAAGTGTGGAATAAGAGAGGATGACATCTCATAACAACGATGCATTAAATTCTTATATACCTATAAAAAGATCAGCATTAGTGATTCCTCTCATTTAGTTGTTGTCAGCTTCCGACGACGAATATTGCACTTTTCATCTTCAACGTTATGATCTGCTTTCGAAAATATTGCGAGTTATCTCCGTTGAAGATTATATGATGACATTCATATAAGAATGTATTCCATTACAAACAGCAAAATTCAGTAATGCAAGACACTTTTGCACCAACTTAATATAGAAGCCTTGTTCTAACTTCGATATGGGATGTTGCTAATAAGCAGTTTCTCCTTTTGTTAGTAATGAGACTTCTACTTATTAACTGTTTGCATTAACTGATTTTAGTTGTACGGTGCAGCATATTGGCATAGCAGCCCAAAACCATCAATTGCGCAGCAGATGCATCAAACTGTAATGAAAACATCCGTAGAGAGCGAACCACACATTGGTAATCAGTCGGAGGTTAGATTTTATAGTTATTCCTATATCTATCACTTAATCTTATGATATTTAAGAATATATGAGCCAGACCACTGGTCACTTTTTCCACAAATTTAAAAATCCAGGTGAGTAAACTTAAAAAATGCTTTGCTACAAAGTTCAGTGTAATCCAGCGCTTTAAAATACTGCTAAATAATTAATTGCTTTGGATAGTTCCTGTGACTAGTTAAAGATTTATAATTAATTTGGATTATTATTTTGCATTTTTATTATATTTGTTTTTATAGAAAGCGTGAGAATTGAAGAGAGGGCTTCATGTGACCAAATCGATAGCACACAGGTAAAGTTTACACAAATGTATAAATTATTTTTTTGAAGATAAGTGTTGGAAATGGGCAATTAGCGAATGAACAAGTAGCAGAAATAGTTAAAAATGAAAATGGCGTTAATTTTGTTTTACCTGATGGAGAAGCATATCTCAGTCTATTGATGGAAGCCCGAACAAGTCTGCAGCTGCTTTGCGACCAAGCTAAAAATGATCTTTTAAATGGTATTCATTTTATACTATTTTTTTTAATTCATGCATTCATCAAGGATTTCACATGATCATTTTTTGTCTTTTTCCAGAAGAAGACATACCAGAACATGCCGCAGGAACGCTTAGGACTGCAATTGGAAAAGCAAATCTTTTGTTGGACAAAAAAATGGCAAAGTTCGAAGATTTAGTCAAGAACCATCTGGTTAGTTTTCCATTAAATGTATACTTTTTACCTGGGATTAAATAATAATTTTAAAATATCCTTGCAAACTCATTTTTCAGTTATTCATATAGCACAGAAATGCCCATTTATTGTTGATTTGAAAGCTATTTTATCATCTTTGCAGTAAACATACTCTTTTTACGTGTAATGGAACAAGCAATCTTTCAGAATCGAAATTCAGACGTACAGCAGGTAAAGCTCAGTGATCTTTCTGGTTACTGGGCATTGATTAGTATTGAGCTAAAAGAATTGGAGACTAACTTTCGCGAAATCAGTTTTCTTCGTGAAAATCACTGGACACTGCCGGAATCAGAACTCTGCTCAGTAAGGTGAAAGTCTTTTGCTTTTACTATTACTATTGGAACTGTTTCAGGTAAAAGCGTTTTTATAACTAAATAAATAGAAGGCTTCTCAAAATAGTAAAATTTAGACAGAATTCCTAACTGTTTTGACGAAGCCAATGTCATTTTTTCGAGCCACATATCCCAAACCCCTATTTACTGTTTACCTTCGAAGTTTATGAACGGTAGAAGATATACAAGATGGTATGCCACTTCTGCAGGATGATAAGATTGCTTCCTTATCATGGTGATCAAGGTAACTCTGACCTTCAATTTATCCCATTTTCAGTACTGTCGATGAAAATCGTAGCGACGCTATGAAGAAAGTACAATCCCATTTACCAGTGATAAATAATGAAAAAGTAGCGTTCGAAATTCAACGCCGACAAATAGCTTTAGCAGCAGCGAAACGACGCCAGAAAGAGTTGAAGAAAGCGGAAGAGGAACAACATGCTGAGTGTAAAGATGATGGTGAAGTTCGTATGGTTATCTGATCGCTCAGCAATTGCGATTATTTTTAATTACTTTTTTGTTTGTTACTAATTACCTCTTCTCTTAAATAATATCGGACAGTTCTCGACCCATTATTTCCGATATGAATTGATGGTGTTTAGAATAAATTCATATTTGTAGTCTGAACTTGAACTGTAAAAGGTAATTAGACAATGTTATGTTTGAATTGCAAGTCTTAATTTTCCTGCAAAAAAGTTTGTTATTTTTATTAACTGCTCATTCCTTTCCGTCGCTTAAGCTTGACGCGACGCTTAATAACAGCATAATTTATTCAAATATGAAATGAAGAACCGTTTGCATGAATAATATCTCTGCAATTGCTTTTGTTGTTTCAGTTAAAAAACTATTTAGATTGACGTTAGGTCAAAAATTGTGATTGCTTTGGTGCTTGGACACTAGGTTTGAACTTATATTGAGGCCAATAGATAGAAGAAATGAATTGGTTTGAAGAGCTTTTATTGCTCCACGAAGTTAAAATAAGCAAAAAAGGATTTCGGTGTTAATCATTTTTGTCTTTAAAAATCGGCGAATTCGATTATTTCGTTTACAATAAATTATATTCGAAGTTACCCATTTTGATCTAACCTCTCGTCGATTAGTGTAATATTTTAGTAGTTAATTTTATATCTATCGATTTTATAATGCAATACACACTGATATTAGGAACCGTTTTTGCACCATTAAAATTACAAAAAGAAAAACAAAGCGAAATTGACATATTTCAAAGCATTCTTCATCTGTTTTCACTAATTGTTAATGAATTGATGTTTATTATATTTTTTCCAAAGCTATGCAGTATTTGTTTTTTTTTTCCTTTTTTGACACCCGCAATTTCAATATAAACCCAAATTCGAATACCCTTATTGATTATCTTAATCGTGAGATTCTATGAAATTCGATAGTGCTATTTTTCTATACTTTTTTCTGACTTAAATTATTTAAAAGAGAAAGAAAAATCCTCAATTATGGTGCTTATTTTTCTGACAGGAATTGTCGCGTATGTGCTTTTATTTATGCGTTTGTCATATCTATTCAATAATTTTTGGTAGAAAAAATGACTGATTTTTCATTATTGATAATAAATTATTCCAGCAATTCTATCACTACTTCATATTATATTCGTCTTCTTCTTATGATCGTATCTATTCGAATGTAAAAAACGAAACGTTTAAAAATCAGATGGGGATATAGCGAATGAAGTTTTTAATTAGAGGAAGTTATAGATGACATTATATCATTCTTTCAGCTGCAGTAATTTCAATTTTGATATTGATGAGATGACAGAGGCATTTTTTTTAGGTAGATACTGCTAAGAGACGTTTTCATCTATTGTTTTAAATTATTTAGAATTCTCTTGTACTATTACAATTGGTAAGATAATATTCGAGCATAGAATTTGCTCCTTTTAATAAATTTACTCATAATTTAATATGCTAATATAGCAATTAATTTATATCCTTCATTTAAAGGATGTATGATAATAAGGTTTGGTTTATGGATGATCAACGTCTAAAGAGCTTTTGGAACTATCATGAAGCGGCATTGCGATGGTTTAAAGCACATCAAGCAGCTCGTGAATACGCTATGAATGATTTATCTGATACAATTTCGAGTTCTGTCGACATTAAATCGAGCATTGACGAAAGACATTTTGTCAAAAGCAATGGTTTACCGAGTACAGGTGTGTCTCTAAGCAATTAGAATTTATAGGTTACGTTTATTATTTGTAGGTGTCGAATACTTCCACCTCTGTTTTACTTATTTTATGCTTAATCTGTTAAAGTAGCTCTGAATTTTTCAATTTAATTCGTTATTAACGAGAACTATAGCAGGAACTTTGAGGAAGTAATTGAAACAGTGAGGATAACGTACAGTTTAGTTTATAATTATTCGTGGTATTAATTTTTAACCAGTAACCAATAACATATAACCAATTTATAACCAATGATTTATAACCAGTTTTTTTCTGTATGTTGCGGACGGCTTTGATTTCAATTTGGTAAACTTCTAGTCTATTATGAATTTGCCAACCTAATTGTAAAATGCAGATTAGGGTAGAGAAATGTATCGGTTATATCGGTGACATATTTATCAAACGGTTTGCATTCACAAATAGAAATATAACTTTTAAAGAAAAAAATCATTTTAGCACGAACCAGCAGCAATGATTCTTTACCGGATGTTGGACAGGAATCATCTTCAGGAGATATGGACGAAGAGATTGGTATGAGTAGCGAAATGGCTGCTTTTTTCCGACAAACAATTGAACACAGGAAACAGAGTAAGTATCTCCCAAATATATGATATGGTTTAAGTATTCGTTTCTTTGCAATTTTCTGCAGAAAAATTGTGGTGTTAACTCATCAGCTTTTTTTTTGTTGTTGCATAGTTCTCTATCAAGTACGGAATCTTCATGAAAATCACCATTAGCATGCAAATTGAATTGCTTGCTCGTCAAATTAATTTGATTTAATTTAAGGAATTTTTTTCAAGACTTGTCAGCAGTTATTATTAAAAGAATATTCTTTCTTTTGACAGTTTGATGTTTTAGGAGATGCTGATCGAAGCAAAGAAGGCAAGAAAAATAAGGAAGACCATTGGGAAGATTGTGGGGAAGATCATTATGTGATGGCTGACAAGAGTAAATTCCTTTCTATTCTTCTAGTATTAGCCTGCCTATTTAAGCTAAAATTTTGTTAGAATGGTCTTGTTGCCGAGAAAAAAAATTTATTTTAATCTCATAATCCGGTTCATCTCTTTAGGCATTCTGAACTGCCATTGCTAACTTTTCTGATCAATATAACGATGAAGTCAAGATAACAATTTTTTTGATACTTTTAACTTCGTGAAAACTTTTACATGAGCAAAAATAAAATCATATTAAAATGTGCGTTGAAATAATGCGATTTTTATCACTTAACCATATTATTGCAGTTGGAGTTTATGGCAGTGAAAAACGATCGTTTCAATTGCCCAATGGCCCTGCTGAACGACGGATAAAATCCGATAAAATGAAAGCATTATACGGCATTGATGCTGAAAAAATTTTGGCAATGGAAACACATTTGGATCTCCGATTCGAACAGAATTATTTGCAACCGGGTGCATACTTATGGCCCAATATACCATTAAAATTATAGTTCTAGAATTTTTCTTGCATTACCAGATTCTTAATTTATATGAATGAGCATGTAACATAATATGGTAGTTATGTACAGAATGCATTTGTGATACATTTTAAACCGAGTTATCTAGAAAATATATTTGTCAGCACAATTTCTTCAACTGCTTTATAACTCATTGCGTATTTTTTTCTTTGGCCTTATTGTTTTCCTTGTTTTCCTGTTTTTTATTTTTCAGGCTCAGTGTTCAAATCCAATAAATCTTTTTTTCCATTTAATATTATTATGTCTGCTTAATTTGTTGCAGTATCGGAATTAACTTCTTTTTCAGCCATTTAAAAAATAAGTCTGGTTTCGTTAATCTCAGGGTAGTTTTTGTTAGATTATCGAACAGTTTTTTAAGATGTTGGTGTGTTTGTTTTAGGATTAATTATTTGGTAGAAATTATTCACTAAATAAATTGTCGAGGGTTGTAGGATCGAAATTCGGCGCTATTTATTTTTTGTTTTCGTTTGTTGTACGTTTGAAAGCTTGGTTGAAGTCATTGGTTCTTTCTTAAATTTTTGAATTTAGGATTCTCAAGATTAGAATACTAAAATATGGGTAAGCGAAAAAGATCGGAGAATGCAGGAATTAGCATTGGAACTGGCAGAAAAAAGATAAAACTGGAAAACGATGGTAATGTACAGGGGATGAATTCAGATAAAATATCACGGAATTTTATCGGAATAAACAAAAACAACGCCGCAAAGTATCATAGCGATAAATTGAAGATGGGAATGAATCGATATGTAGGGATGAGTTATCAGAGATTAAAACGGTAAAATGCGTTTTTTTCACCTTTACCTATTTGTGTCAGATAATTTTCCGTTTAATAAGAATTTATGTAAGGGATTTTAATGATATTGGGAATTAAGGTACTGAATTTCTGTTATACTGATGGCAGGACAATTTCCTTGGTTTTTTAAATATCAGCTATTTAAATAAGTACTATTCCTTTTTTTTTCATTTGTTAATTACCCTTTTAAATTTTGTTAAGATGTCAATGTTGTCAATTTTGTTAAAATTATAGAATTATGACTACCGATACAGATTGCGATCTGCTTATGGAAGTAGAGAAGCGCCACATAACGATTGGATGGCATCAGTTAGGAGAAGCTTATAATGCAATCAGATATATTTTAAATTCGTCACTTGGTCAATATAGGAAATCGTAAGTTTCGTAATCAGTGTTTGTAAATTCTATTCGTTTGTTAAAAAAAATTCTACTCGGGGAGCTGATCTGCGTTGTTATAGACGAATGTAATACATGAAGCTAGAAATTTTATATTTCTGTTTTCTTCTTTATGTGTACTGTGATTATTGTGCAACATGGAAGTTGATAGAGAAAATGAAGCTTGAAATTTAAGCTGTATGATATGATTTTATAAATTAGTATTTCAAGTAAAATTTATATTAAACAAACGAGATCAGTTACAAAATTGAGAAGTTGATTGGCTGTTTGCAAAAAGGTCAAGAAAGTATTTTAATTCAACTTGAACTGTTTTGAAGTCTAGCAGTTGACTGCATTTAGTTTATGTAATTGGATTATTTTGAAGTGTGATAGTTAACATTTGTGTTGAAATTTGTTTTATATTCATTAAGTTATTGAAAATCAAATTATGCTTCTACTTCGACGTTACTTTGTGTTTAAATCTATGTATAATACTATATTTTAGGTTAAACGGTATCTTGTTAGCCGTCGGAAAAGTGGATATTATTGATAAGCCGTTTTGTATTGCCGACCAACCATGTATGCATATTGATCTAAATGTAAATTGTATTGTATTTCGTCCGAAACAAGGCAGTACTTATAATTGCATGGTAACAGCTATTGATAAGGTATTTTATTTTGTGCTTTAAAATATAGAATCTTTTTTGTGCAAGAAAAACTCACTAATAACTGAAATTAAAAGAAGTCTTCAGTTTTAACAAGTGCTAATTTCCTTGAATTTCTTTTGGGTATTATACTATCTTTGCGAACTTATCCTCGATTATATGGTAGAAAAAGAGAAAGCATCGTTTAACATAATTTATTTTAACGACCATTGACTTTTGACTTTTTAGCAATTGCATACATATTAAATTTTTTAACTTTTTATCTCATTTTTTGCAGAAATTCATAACCGCCAAGCTACACAACACGATAACTTTTTTTGCACTTATAAAGAATACGAAGAAGTTGCCAGAGATTGGTGACCAAGTGCTGATCAAGTTTTGTCACATCGAAGTCAAAGGTTCATTGTGCCAAATAAAAGGGATGATAATGTAGTGGATCATTGGTAAATTGTTTTATTTTGTTAATTGTTAAAGAAATTCATTCAAATAAGCGATTATGTATGGCGTTGAACGTAAGTTTAAATTTTTTTTTGGAAAATCATGAAGCCGATTATTCTTAGTAAAAAAAAGTACCAGCAAATTGTGGATGTTTTGTTAATTATTTCAACTGCAGTATAAAGTAGGTAGTTTATTAAAATCGAAGAGAAAAAAATAGATGTCTACTGAATTGTTTTATTCTGGCAGTTAGTTTAATAATTTCCATCTATATAATGCGAATCATAGAATGGTCTATGATTGAGAGTGACATCAAAAAGAATGTTATCGTTTTGTTCATTTGTTGATATTGTTCATATTGGAATGATATTGTCCATGTTGGAATAACTTTATAATTGTTAGATATAAGTTATTAAATGTTTCCGTTTTGTTGTTTTTACACACCATCAAAATAGTCAATATGGAAATAAGTTGAATTAAATGATTGATCAATAATGTGATAGTAATGCCAGTGTATTTTTGTAAATGTTGGAAATAGTAATTGAAGCGTTTTAATTTTGCATTTAATTTTTCTTTCTTTTAACATATATAGAAATTTCGACTAATTATTAGAAAATAATTGCTTTCCTTGAAAGTTAATTATCATATGGGTTTATAATTAGATCAATGGCTTAAAAGACATTAACATTACATGAAATAATATAGTGATTTATCAGACTCGCAGTAGCTTCAATAATCGTCGATGTGAGTGAGCAAGGTATATTATTATTGTCGAGGTTTACCAAAAGCTTCGAGCCCTCAACGTCACAGAGGGCTGTATTTGATCTCGGGCGGAATCGAACCGCCGACCTTCTGTGTGTTAGACAGATGTGATAACCGCTACACCACGAGACCAGGTGTAATGGTGTAGAATTTTGCAGTTGAGGAATGAAAATGGAAGAAAAATTTTGAATATTTTAAATTATTGGTAATATTTTTAAAAATTTAACAGAAATTTTTCAATTTCTTAACAAAAAATTAATTTCATATTTGAAATATTAATTAATTAATTAAAATTAGGCCATATGAATGTATCCATCGAATCGGATTAATTTTAATGAATTATAAAGAAAGTCAAATATTAGCCTCCCTCTCTTCCTTATGTTTAAATATATTGTAACATGTAGAATTTATGATAAGCTTATGTCGAAATGAAGAAATAAATTGCTTCAAGAGATAGCATGAGAGAGAAAGAGAATGATAGAGAAAGAGAGAGAGAGAGAGAAAGATGAGAAAGTAAGGGAAATTCTCGGGAGTATTCAAAATCATTACAACTAATCGATAAATGCTCTGTTTAATATTTCTCATTCCATATGGTGTGTGTCATCATTTTACATTTTTTAATGTTGAACAAAAAAAAGAAAGAAAATCTGCAATTACTTTTGTTCTCAAATATAATAATAAAATAAATAAGAAATGGATTAATTACAAATAAAGGTAATTCATCCTAATATATGAAATGGTTTACAAAGCTGAAATAGGTAATTCATCCCAATATTTGGAATGGTTTACAAAGCTGAAATAGGTAATTCATCCCAATATTTGGAATGGTTTACAAAGCTGAAATAGCTAATTCATCCCAATA